GCGTACACTTTATCACGAGGAGCGACTCCGGCGGAGGTCTTGCCCCGACGGGAGCTGAGCTCGAACTATGTATGGATTTATGGATATAAAAATAGATATACTATGTATGTATATATTTTGGGGATCCCACTTTGACTTTTGTAGATATTTAAATCTATTTTTTCCCTCCTTACTTCTTTGTTTAATTATGTATACCTACACAGATATTTCTTTCTTTTAAAAAAATTTACCTCGTCACACCTAAGCAGTGACGAAAAGGAACAAGAGGGGCCAAAAGTGGGACACCCATAAAATGTCCGTAACGGACATATCTAACATTAAACTCTTGAAACTTTCCACTAAATATGATTATTGTATGAGGCTCTCTGATTACTAAAAAGGTGAGTTTAAAGCATTTAACAGTAAATTGTATAATAAAGGAAATAAAAAATCACGAAAAAACTACTTGTAAAATTTTTGTATGTTCAAACTTAATATTTTCTTTCAACAGGAGTGGTGCTAAAACCTTTTGTGGTATTTCTCACATATTTGCACATTTAATTGAGTACAAATGGTGAAAAGACAAGCTAGAAGTGAGAAATATTTAACTGCCTTGTTCACAAATATAATAACATTCGTTCATTCATTATAGGAATGTATATCTTAATATCATTGTTTTTCAAGCAACGTACGAAGTTGGAATAATTTTGAAGGAACGTTGGCAGCAAAAATGAAAGGTTTAGCAGACCTTGTTGTTACCAACATCCCCTGCGTCAATGAGATTTTTGGAAACGCGGTATTGTGACCATTATGAAATTGAATTTTCTAATTCGTGTCGTTTTGGTTTGAATTTGTTAAGTTTTTAAACATTTGTTTCAGCATTTGTTTTCTTTTAATTTAGCACACTGCGTTCCTGAACCCATTTTGGGGCATTGGGCACCTGCATTGGAGTAATGCTCCGTTATTTTCAATGTCAAGACACTTCACGTCAGTCAGTGCCTTCGGCCAGAGGCCGAATAGTTACTAGTAATTTGTGCAATAAATAGTTATGACCAAATCCATGAACACACCGTACATATTTACAACTTTACAAAACTATCATGTAAAGTTTATTGCAGAAGGCAATAATTAATTTTTATTAGATGACAAACAAAAGCAGAAGAGGCTGAAATGCATGTAACTGTCAAATTTGATGCTACGAATTTCGAAGTACCTACAGGTAGGGGATGTTGTTTCAAGTGCATTGCATTGACAAACATATGTTTTGCTGCTTCTGTGTTGTTGTAACTGTTTTATAATAACAGTTACATACAAATATTAAAGGTTTTCAGGTGACACTCGAGAAGTGGAAACAGTATGTTATACTGAAAAAATAATTTCAGATTTTAATTGAATAATTATTGGAATAAAGAAAATAAAACTTTTCCTGAAGTAACATTAGATAGTGACGAGGCAAATGAAATACAAGAGAAGGATAATTCCTAATAAGGTTTCAGTTTTGTTTTACAATCATTTTTGGTTATTAGACATCGTACTTTGATTTAATCAATTTTCTTACCCAAGATTGTATTTTATTCATTTTAATTTAATCTTTCATATAATTTTTAGTGTTTCTAACACTTATTTTTGAAATCGTCATTGATGTTGTTACTGCTGTGGTCACACGTCCAGGAAATGAGAATATAAGGGCATAACCTTCTGTCGAATTGTCAGTCAGTGACTCATTATGACACTCGTTATTGTCATTGTAAAGATGTTTACCATTATTTTCAGCCCTTCCTAGTTCAATTTATTTAATACAGCACAACAATTACTATTTAAACATTTCTTTTTACTCTTGCGGCTATAATACGTATATATTACTGTCTAAATAATTTGAATAAAAGTAGGGAATTGCATTTCATATTAATTTCTTGATGTTTCAGTCTAGAATTAAATTATTTTATGTTTTCGAGATTTTGTAAAGCTGATAAATCATTGATTGATTTTTTATACTGATAAATTGTATTCGAAAAAAAATTAGTCTTATTATTGTGGTACATAAATATTTTTTATATTAAAGATGTTTCTGATATTAAAAATAATTAATATTAAAAGATGGAAGACCTATTGGAGAAATTCGTGTTGCAGTGAAACCAGTTCCTTTCATTAGTTCAGGATATTTTAGGATATAATATTTGCTACAAAATAACTATCAGTTTTCCAGACTGTGATATTGTGATAACCAAACATGTGAAAATAATCTTTGTTACATTTCTTACGAATCAGTTATTCCTTGAAGTGATTCGAAATAACGTAAAGGAATACCTATTACAATTACAAAACGATTTACATCGTTTAAGAAATTTTAGGTGTTACGTCTCTCTCTCCATCTCTCTCCCTCCTCTTCACTCTCCTCTCCACTCTCCTCGCCTCTCTCCTCTCCACTCTCTCACTTTCTCTCTCTCTCTCTCTCTCTCTCTCTCTCTCTCTCTCTCTCTCTCTCAAGGCAATGAACTCTATTGCATAACTCTAAAGGAATAGGAACTAATTAGCAGTAAACTCTCCTTTACGTTAGGGCTTATGCAGTCCTACGAAATTCGTTGTTGCTTGTTTGGTTGTTAGTGATTCCTGACGCGTCAATTTATGAGATAATTATTTCCGTAAGTGTAGTGCAGGTTTTTGTATTATATTCTTCTTTCCTTCTGCCTTTTTTTGACTACCAAAACTTTTTCCGAAGTATTTCGATGTGAGGAAATTAGAGCTTTCGCAGTAATAACAATATAAACAAAATTTAAAAAGTATCGTTTATCTCACCTTTGATAAGGTGATCCCCCTTTTTGCACCCCATCGATTGCAATACTACGGCGGTTATGGAATACAAAAAATGGATTACGTTCGCAAATCCGTTTACACAAGGATAATACCATAATTTTGAGAAATTCAAAAGTAAAATATTTCAGTTAACCTTTTAAGAGAGATTCACATCCTGTTCTCATAGGGCAGAGTACTATCGTCCCTATTTCATAAATTTTCTTAGTGCAAGTAAATACGTCTTTCCATTCGTAATTAATGAAAGAGAGCGATCCTCGGGGAATTTAGTATTATAATGTTAAAATAATTTTAATATTTTATGAAATGGGAATGCATATTAAAAGTCTAAATATACTTATTGGAAATTTCATCCCACCTACTCACACATACACAAATTAAGTGCTCTTCGTATCCCATACTCTAAACCGTTACAGATTCCAATATAAATGTGATAATAAAACATTACTGGTAAGATGGTAATTCTCAGTTTAACATTCTTAAATTCCAGGATACAAAAAGAAGACTCCCTTTTTAGATTTACTACTGCAGCATGAAAGAGATGGGTATTTTACTGATCAAGATATCCAGGATCAAGTTGGCACTTTCTTGTTAGCGGTTGGTATTGTTTTACTTCTTGATGATGGCTAAAGTAAAGGTTGCTAATGTATACAAGCATTTTAACTTACATTAAATTTTCAAATATATTATTTTTAATGTACTGGTATTATCATTTCAGGGTCATGATACAGTTGCTACATCATCGGGATTCTGTTTGTGGTTACTCGCAAACCATCCGCAATGTCAGGTAATTTACATTATTAAGCTTAATTTTACTTGTTGGTTTTATGAATTAAATCATGGTTATTATATTTATTACTGTTTTTAGCATTTATTATTATATCTTAAGGTTTTAATACACAGTTCACCGCAGCATAAATATTAACAAACAGAATTTTATGACCTTAATAAAACATACTCAGTATGTTTTTATATTTTTTTCTTTCGACTCTTCAACCCTATGTGTGTTTTATTCAAAAATCTATTGTCCAAGCTTGTTGACACCACATCACAAACAAACAGCTTTTTCATAAAAAATCGTCAAAGGCATGGACAAGTCGTAAAAATCATCTATTCAGATAAGATCAGGGTGAAAACGTCAAAAGAAATACATTTTTATTAAAAATACTGAGCTTGTTCTTATTCAGGTCATAAAAATCATTGCAAATAAATAAACAAGAATTTGTATAGAAGCTAAATCAACACATTAAAATTAACAAACTAACAAATCTATCGAAATATCACGACCTATATAAATTCGTTGCATATTAAAAATTATCATTCTTTGTTTTATGATTTATTATAAACTAACGAAATAAATGAGTACAACACACAAAAATATTGAAGATTTTACAACATAAAACAAGCCATTCTCATCAGAAATTTCCGATCAATGCGCATGTACTGAGATTAACACATTTTTGAGGACTGATTGCAATACTATTATTTAATTGCAAGTGTTTCTAGTCAGTACATTAGCAGTCGCATTTCAAGGACGACGTCAACAAAGGCGCAATGTTTTTCCCAAGGTACGTCGAATAAGGGTTTCGTTTTCCAATATTTGCGTAGGCAAGCATTTACTGGTTCGTTGATTGATTGATAGTGAATCCAGGCACATCCACTAACAAGCTCATTTGTCCCGTAAGTGCGATTCGTTTTTTTGCTCGGGAGGTGGCAGAGGACTTCCTCCCGCTGTGTGGCGAGCTCCGGCCCTGATCTACCGTCGGCAAGCGGGATTTTCCCTAACCAGGCACCGCCCCATCTGGGACAAGCTCTTAGCTCCCAACAGGTCTCTCGGCATATGTGACACTAGTGCATGTTAGTTTGTGTGTAAGTAAGGACTGAAGATAGGACAAGGAAATGTCAGTTTGTGGCCCGTTTGTTAGGGTACTGCACCGACATTCGGCTGGAATCGATCGGAGACACCACGAAGAACTACCGATCAGAGCTGCCGGCTACTAGAATTCTCCTCTAGGCAGCAACAGAATTCGACCTAGATGACAAGCCAGTGTCGATAATCCTATACCGAACCGAGGGCCTCCCGTTCAGAGGTACAATAATAACATCAGTAGACACCCAGAGCCATCTCTCCTGGTTACTGGTTCATCTTTTATGGATTTTATTAGTAGAACCTTTTTGATTTTGAAGGCGTCCTCTTGCCGGACGATTTAGGAAGTTTTAGGGAGCTCGCGCATTCGCACAGACGTCGCTGCGCCCATGAGCGTGTTACGCTAAAACGCCCGAAATCGTTCGTCAAAAGGAAAAGTGCAAATACGGTTTAAGTGATAGCATGGTCAACGCCTATCGATTCTTTTCAAAAAGATTCGGAATGTCCCCATGCAAAACGCTCACTGAAAATTCCGGCATTCTCGTGCAGCAAGACTTGCCCAAATCGTGTTGCAGTACCTTTCAAAATTTTCAGTAACAGTGCACGTTGAACTAATATAATTAAGAAAGGTCTTGTTTATGTATATTAAATTGAATTGAATTGAATTTGCCTTATTTTACGTGTCGAGACTCGGGCCATCAGGCCCGCTCTTCCGTCTGACCACGCAAATTTCGCTACGCTCCTTTCACCAACTAGGAGAGAAAGGAGGTATTTCTTGGGCGAGAAACAGGCGATTTTGAATTTAGCTCAGAGGCGTCATTTAGGCTTGAGGATCTTTTACATGCAAGTAAATCTACGAACATGGGACAGCCGGCTTTACTTCCCCTCCGAAGGAAGGCGTACGAAGGATTTTTTCGCCCTTAAAAATATCTTCGCGGAAAGGTCCGCAAGAACCGAATATTTTAAAAATATATGTGGCTCTTCTAAAACTGAGAAATCAAAAATTTTTTCGAACAATTTAGCAAAACCTGATTGTAATATAATTACGTAATATATGTAATACATTTTAAAATCAACAACTTTTTCTTTCAATTATATTCCCATTTATTCGTGGGTACACCGTTTACCGCACTTGAATTAATATGCGACTGTTATTAATAAGTTAACTATTAACTATGGTTGGCGTTGCTTCCCATTGGCATGCGTTAGTTCATGTTTAGGCCTTCGATATTACGCTCGTTAACGAACAAAGCGGCGGCGATGGTGTAACGGTTAGCTTATTGGACTGTTGTACCCAAGTTGGCGGGTTCAAACCCCATCGAAGCCGCGGATTTTTAAGGGCGAAAAAATCCTTCGTACGCCTTCCTTCGGAGGGGAAGTAAAGCCGGCTGTCCCATGTTCGTAGATTTATTTGCATGTAAAAGATCCTCAAGCCTAAATGACGCCTCTGAGCTAAATTCAAATCGCCTGTTTCTCGCCCAAATACCTCCTTTCTCTCCTAGTTGGTGAAAGGTGCGTAGCGAAATTTGCGTGGTCAGACGGAAGAGCGGGCCTGATGGCCCGAGTCTCGCCACGTAAAATAAGGCCAATTCAATCCAATAAATACGGAGATACTTATTGTTTCTTGGATGTTCCAGAGCATAACATTACGAACGTATTCTCTGTACGTCACAATTTTCCTTTCTTGCTACTGCTTATGCAGTATAGAGAGAGTATTGTAAAATGCGGAACAAACGTTGAATTTCTGACAGAAAAACACTTATAGCATGATCCTGGTAGAGAAAAAGAGGATCAATCTTACCCTATATTATTAGTCAGTTACTTATTCTAACATCTATGTTTTATAGGTTCGATGCAGAACAATGGATTGAACGTTTGTCCGTGTGTCTGTAAACAATGCTAGCAGGTAAATTTTAAGTAGGATTTTCACCAAAACTGATATCCCAATCGACAAAGCTAATGTCGCGGTGCACTGAATTTGAAAACGATATTTTAATTTTGGGTTCTGCTTTACATAAAGTGTCAGGTAGAATTTCAAAAAATCCAAAATATTTAATTTTATTTTAACCTTTTTAATCCATTAATTTTTCGAAAATTGCTTAAGTTTTCATTTTTTCGATGTCTTCATAGAAGTAAAAATGTGTGAAGATTTTTTTGTTAATGAAATATGTTCATTAGAAACAGATTTCGAAATAAGGTCATGTTCAATTTTTCGAAACTACAAGAATTTTTTTACGTTTTTCTCAAAAACGTCTCCAAAATTTGTATTTGATTATTTTCTACGTATGTTTTTACCTGTTCCATTTTCGGCGCTCTAGGTGTTTTTTAGAAAATTAGGGAGGAAATCGAAATTACAACCTTTTAGAGAGATTCGTGACATTTCGTGACTGTCGTCCATGTAAAACAAATATGTTACTGGCGTTGCTAGTATCCGAAGTAGTTTGCGCCATTTGTCTAGATAATTAAATCAAATAAATGCAGAACAGGAGAAGTGGTGTATTAGAATCTCCTTTGTAATAATAATAATAATAATAATAATAATAATAATAATAATAATAATAATAATAATTATTATTATTATTATTATTATTATTATTATTATTGTTATTATTAAGTTATTCTTAGACTGAATTGTTAACGTCATAACGCATTGATATATTTTTGCAATATTTCCAGGAGAAAGCATATGATGAGCTGAATACAATATTTGGGGATTCCGCTCGTGAAGCTACTCCAGAAGACCTGCTAAATATGAAATATTTAGATTTAGTAATGAAAGAAACCATGAGACTTTACCCTGCCGTACCAATATGTCTAAGAGAATTAGACGAAGAAGTAAAAATTGGTATTGTATCATATATTTCTTTAAAAGCCGCTTCCTCTAGAATGAGGAGTTAGTACGCTGACTTACAGCGACCAAACGGAAAATACTTGGTGCTACTTTTGATTTCATATAAAAGAAGGAAGGCATATCTAAATCCTCTTACAATTCCTGCCCTAATTAAATTTGTTATCCAATCATTCAGAAAATGAGTTGCGGATGTTTGACGATTGAACATGATTGACGACTTTCCGATTCTTTCCGAAACTTTGCCAATTACTTGTGGAGTTCAATAGGAATCGATTTTAGGCCATATTCTCTTTCGATCTTTCTATATACCTAAGCGATATGCCCTCGACGATTAGAAATGGGAGAACAGTTCTCTGTGTGGATGAAACGAATATTCTTTGCTATATAGAAACCATACAATATCAGATTTTCAAATTAGTTTCGTAACAAATTAAAAGAAAACGGTTTCAATGCAGTTTTCCATTTCAAATTGACAGCCCTGTACTCCATTGAAAATGAATGGTGTGCCATTGACTGATGTTAAGGTACAACATTTTTACTCGTAGGTCTTTCAATTCAGTCAAACCTTAAATGCAACGTACATTTAAATGAATTGAACCCTAAATTAAGTTCTTTATGCTACGCTTTCAGAATTCTTTCCAATTCAGTCAATCTTCATACTGCTCGTTGTGTATAGCGAAGTTCATTCCCGCCTGAGATATGGCATAATATTCTGAGAAAATACATCTTATATCTCCCAGACTTTCAGATTATAAAAAAGAATTGTTCGAATAATGAGCAAATTCCACCCACGTGGTTTCTGTAATTCCCTCTTTATTAATGTAGGTATTTTACCATTACCTTGTCTCTTGTTATACGAATCAGTTGTTTTTGCCAAAATTGACTTACTTAAGAGTCGGAATATATTTTCAGCCAACACCGATGTCTATAACTACACCACTCGCCGTAGTAGTCATATCAGGTGACAGTATCAACAAAATTTCACATATAATACATGTACATTATTTACAACACCTTGCCAGATTACATTAAACTATTAAATTTGATACAAAAGTTTAAGTCCAAGTAAAAACTTTTCTGCTTGTTTCTATACAATTTGAGACTATACCGAGCATTCAAATGGAAAGTAATATTAATTTTATCAATGACATTTAATGTATATACCATTTGGATTGTAAAGAACCTGTAACGAGTATTGTACATCAGC